AATCCAGTAATACACAATGTGGGGTCTCAGGCTCTTGACCAATTATCAACCAAAATACGACCAAAGAAAAACTACAAAACTAACAGAAAAGATTTGGATGGTGGTGCTATAGATATCCACAAGCAGATTGGTAAATTACCAAGACCCGCAGGTGGTTGGACATTACCACGCCATAAATACACAGGGCCTTACAACGATCTCGAAAATCAAGTCAGATACAATCCAGAAACTGGTGAAATATTAGAAATTTATGATCAACCAACTGGGCCAACCGATGCCGTGGCCATGCAACATGATGTTGATTATAGTGTTTGTGGTGATAACCGAAAGTGCAAAAATAAAGCTGACCGTAAAATGGTAAAATCGTTAGACGCCATTCCTTATAATGAACGACAATGGGGTCACTGGTTAGCTAGAAATCTAATAAAGACAAAACAAAAACTCGGTCTTGGTTTAAACTAGAAAAGCATGAAAACAGGATGTATTTCGCATTGAAAAGGTCATTCGGAGGGATTATAAGAAGAAACAAGCTCTTGTAAAATGGTTGGGCTATAGTGACGACTTTAATAGTTGGATCCCACTAAGCAACCTGCAAGAATTATCTAACTAATAGTATATATGGACGATCATATAAAGCTTGATACTAAAATCCAGAGTAAGGAAACCGAGCTTAATGCACTATTCACTAAAATCCAAAAATTGGAGGAAGAGATTGCGACATTATACCACAAGAAATTAATCTCCAAAAAACTGGAAACAGTAGAAATGTCATTAACCGGCGTCCTAGGTGCAATCTTTGAAACGGAGGAAGAGGAGGAGGAGAAAGAGTACATTGCCAGCGTCCCCAAAACGTGGACGGTGGGTCTAAAGTGTTGCCCTGTCAAAATGAAGGGTCAACCCGTCGAAATGACGGGTCAACAAAATGAGACAGATTTGTTGGGGGTGTCAAAACGACGCCCCAGGTCTAATGTGCTAAAACGGCACCTCAGACCTAGCATACTTTTTAATCTATCATATTTACCATTTTATTGGCCTGTATGATAGTAATATTTATGTAATCTATATATATGGTAAATATGATTGAAAAACGTTTGCTAACGAAGATTTAGAAATTGAGCTGACATCATTTATTGATGATAAGCAAAATGTTTGGTTCCGAGGAAAGGATTTTGCTCAGATACTTGGATATAAGGACACCGTAAATGCTCTAAAGCAACATGTATCCGTAGAAAACAAAATGATACAATTTATACGACCAAATTGTTGGGGTGGTGAAACGCCACCTCAACAAAATGACACTAGAGGGAAATGGTGCACATTCATTAATGAGCCTGGCTTTTATGAACTAGTATTTAGCTCCAAATTAGAATTTGCAAAAAGATTCCGTCAATGGGTTTTCACCACAGTCCTCCCATCTATCCACAAATATGGCCAATACAAACTATTTGATAACCCCTGGAATAAGATGATCATGATTGGCAATGAGACCGACCTCCATTATAAAGTAGTGGACCTCATAAGGAGATATTATCCAGATTCCATATTAGTAGCTGGCCTGGGAGAGAATCAAGATACTGAGGATAAGAGACAACATTCATTTAAGAAAGGATATATGAGAGGACAGCCTGATCTTTACCATGAGCTAATAGTGTTTCTAATATTTCCGGAGACATAACTTAAGTTTAGTGGTTGATTATTAATAGTACAAAGTCTTCGTGTTTTCCTCTACTTCTTTTTCATGCAATTATTACCGATACGTAAATCACTCAGTAATGATTATGATAAGATTAGCAAAAATATTCATGAGTATATGAAAAGTATCAGAGTACCGTGTAAATATTGTATCAAACAGTTCCTTAATAAGGACACACTAAAAATACATTATAAAATAATTCATCGCATTGAAAAATAAAATTATCACAAACTAAAAACAAGTCAGTATCTATTTAACACACCTTTTTTATATTCCATAATTATATACATAATATATATATGGAAGATTTTATCCGTCTTTTAGCCAAACAACAATCTCTATCAGGCGGCACTAGTTTGATATCTATGTATATTCCTCCAAATGGTAGAGTAAGCCTTGGTAAACAAAAATTAACCTGTGAATTGGGCCTTGTCTCAAATATTAAGTCAAAAGTCGTTTAAAAACACTTAAAAACCGCTCTAAAATCAGCATTATAACAATTAAACCAGCTAAAAGAACCAAGAATTTCATGCCGTGGGTTATTACTACTATCTGGCATCATAAAAAATACTTGTGAAGGATACAAAGGATCAGTACTCATTGAGCCTGAGCAAGTAATAGAAAAAGCTGATTATAAATGCGGCAAGAGCTTTTATTTAGATCCTATTTTAGATACTTATAAAAAGAGAATAATTGAAAATCCAATAGTCGACAAAAAAATTGGATATGATTGCAAAAGCAAATATAGACAGGTTGGATTTTGGACTCAAAAAAATAACCAATAATCATTCTCATATTGTATTCACAAATGAGGATAAATATCAAAACTATCAGCCAGATACTGACTCAAAAACCAAAATAATATATAGTCGTAAGCTGTTTCAGTATGGTGATATGGTTGGGCTTAGATATTATTAAAATCAAACCGCCCAAAACCGGTTACCAAAATGCTGTCATCAGCAGAAATCCCATAATCGTAACTGAGTGTGAATTTTGGGATTTCCAGCCATCGTAGTTAGAATCATGCTGTAAAAAAGATTATTAAATTTAGTTTTAAGCTTATTTATGAACAAGTCAACTCAATAAAGTAACGCAAGACTTAAGCTTAATTTGCATTTGTAAACAAAAAAACTTTTTCACCGGTTTTATCGATAAATTCAAGTCAAAAAGACAAAGCTTTACCTGTTAAAACGTCCAAATGAACTTCTTCACCTTCTTCGTGTATTTCGGGGACAGCTTGCTTGATTAGTTGTGAAATTTCTATGTTTGTTACGCCAGCAAACCGGGAAGGCATTTTGCTCACAAGTTACGCGAGTTTGACGTCGGTCGCTCGGAGGAACTGGCCGTGAATCAGTGAATAGTGCAGGATACTCACTGATTGAGTAGCCAGTGAGAGTGCGCGAAAAACGCTATCCACTGTTTTAGTATATACTAAATTAAATTAGACTACAGTAAACTGCCGCTTATAAGCCCTGGGCCTATATATACAGTCGAAACTCCATGTGCGAACGCCTCTCGTAAGACTACCTCCCATAAGCGATCGAATATCCAAAACACCAAAACATTCCTAGTCAAAGCCTTACAGTTGGAACTTCTAGTAAACGACCACCTCTTGTAAGCGACCACGACC